TTGGATAAAGTGAATCAGCTCCGTCTAATAATTAGTCGCTCGAATAATTCATTAGTCGAAGTTTCTTTCATAATAGACACGTACAATCAATAAGATCGTTGATTTTTCGGTCGAAGTTAGACCGAGAAAAGCAATCACAGACATAGAGCTCGACTCTGGCCAGTGAACCATTACCAAACTTCCATTCGACTGCACCGGTGCTGCCAAAGAATCTGAAGGATCCGCGGCAACAATTCCGGGCAAATTTGTTTTAATTCCCTGAAAAGTGACGAAAGTTGGATACTCTCGTAATCGACGGAAAGTCGTTTGGAAAGATCGTTATCGAATGTTGGTAGGTAATAAAGCAAAGTCGCGACTACTACACGCGGATTTTCTCGGTGCTAGAGAGAAGCGAGGTCATATTAAGAGGAATTGCCAATCGAAATCAGTCACGGTACGCCAAAATGTTCACGGGACAATCGGAAAGTTCGCGAGACACACTTCCGCCCAGCGAGTCGACGAGTATTGCGAAAGTTAAATGAGGAACGAGTTAGGGCCGGCAACAGGCGATAAGCTTTCAGAGTCTTACCCCCGTTTTCCTCCCTGAGCCCCGTGTCGATAATGACGCACCATTGTTCCGCGAATCTCTCGATGAAAGAACCTTATAAAACCAGCTGTAAAGAGGCGTGCTCGCTCGTGGATGTGGAAGGGATGACGAAGAAGAAGGTGATTAGGGTGGATGAGACCGCAAATAGTCGGGGGCGTAGGGGGAACGAACGTTATTATTCATTACTGTCCAAACATTTTCCGGGAGATAAAATTACGAGCAAGTTCCCAGCGGGGCGGTTCGATCGCGTGTAATCTAACTTCTCTGAAATAATAATCGTTACGCGGAATCGCGAGCGAAACTCTTCGGCGGCGGTTTCTCGAACAGTTTATTGAATCATTCCGACATTGATTAGGCGGGAAGGCCGAACGGAGTGAGCTAGCACGACCCCCTTGCCGGAAGTCTTTACGAGCAACGAACTTCCTAATTGTAAATCTGGCGCGTCATCGTGTCGGGGGTGGAGGGAAAGGGGGGAGCAAGCACGCTGAACCATCCACGAAGTTCTATGTAAATATGTTTACCGGGTAGAGGAGGGCTCCTTCCTGGGGACTCTTTCGAGCAAGGAAGCGACTTTCTTTGAGCCACGGATACGCTTTGTTTCCCTCGATCGAATGGAAGTTCCGAACTAGTTCGCCGTGAATTTCCGTTCGGGGATAACGATCGGTTAAGGGAGCCGATGGTTGCCCGTAGCCGGTGATATATTTATTTTCGTTGGAGGGAAGAAAAAGGGATCAGTTGTTTACTCGGTTTGTGAAAAAGAAAAAAGAAGAAAATAAGAAGAGAATTTAGAAGGGACGGGCTGGATTAATTAATCGTTTCGTTTTTATTATGCATTCAATTCCGAGCAAAGGGGACGGAGTCTCGATTACGTATCCCGGCGAACTGAAAAGTTCGCAAGGTCCTGACGGGTTAAAGTGGTCGGATAAAAGAACTATTATAAATTCCATTAATACCCGGCGAGCATTCGAAATACTCTAAACTTTAATTATCCCCGGGGACAGATCGATTCCACCTTCGGCTACCGAGTATGGCGGAATGGAACGTTGAATTAACCAAGACGCGATAAAACGATCGTAAAGAATTAAAGGGTCACGGATGGAGCCGCGGTCGATCGTCGAGGTAATTTTTAATTTGTCGCGAATCGACCTGGACCGGTGAACTGTACTCTTGAGGTCCATTCTTCGCGCGATAACAGTGTTCGAAAATTCGGTAAATTCGGAGAACTTGCTTGCGTAGATATTTTTATTGTTAAAGACGAAACAATTTTTCTTAACAAATATTCTTCCTAAGGCAAATAGTTTTCGAGATATGAAGAAAAATCTGTCTACTCCCAATATCGACGGCGGTCTTCACCACCATAGATACGAATATCACCAGCGGAAAGAAAAATACGCGTGAAATATATTTTCCGATGCACTACCTTTGCGTCAAATTTCATCAGAAATCGGCGTGTAACGCTCGACTGATGTCCCTTGTTAGCCGAGGCCCAATAGCTCGAGGCGCGAGTGGCTTCGTTACGTAGTAGTACAACCCTCTCACCCTCCCGGCCACTTATTTCCCTATGCAACGTGCCGGCACGAATTGGATTTTTACCAGCGCGGAAGTAGGCTGAAGAAGAGAAAGGAGGAAGAAGGAAGGCGGATATAAAAGGAGTCGGAACCCCCTGGGTCGAGAGGGGTGAATTCGAGGGCGACCCGTTGCTTCGTATCGAATAACGAAGCAACCCCCGTGCCGGCTGTTTTCTCGCCGGAATAATAAGGACTCCATTCTCTCTGGAGATCGTGAAAATCGATCGCGCCCTATCGCGCCCATCGCGCATTATTGCCGCCGCCTGTTTCCGACAACCCGGTGCCCAGCCCATCCCACCCCCTTCGTGCCCGACATGCCTGATTGTGGCTACGCTTGACTGAGCCACTTGGATGGGTGTCGCACCCCCCGGGTGTGTTCCATTCCGTACGACGGTGGAAGAAAAACAAAGTGAAGGGAAAAAGGGCCCCTGGCCCTCGACTACTGTCACCGGGAATAACGCGGGGCGGTACCGATGAAATTACCCTCTCGGTGGTCCCGAGGTCACGAAATTGTCTGTTTCTTTCGATGAAGGTGGAGGGCTTATACGATTTCATTTATCACATCGACGAAAGGGGGGAAACCAAACACGGACAGTTTCCTAGTAACTGCTGGTAAGTTCGCCGCGTTTCTGCGGAGCGGTCAGCGAATAAACTCGGCGATCTATGCGAAACGGTGTAATATTGGTACGGGTTGCGTTATTGACGGTTTTGGTGGTCTGTGTTAGGTATGTATATATATATTTTTTTTTCCATACGTAGAGAATCAATAATAAAATTCAGTATAATAAGAAAATGTATGAAGCCTAATCACGTTTTTATCTTCTAGTGGACCTTTGATGGATGGAACCCTTCTGGTTTTTGATTTTTAATACTACCTCTAACCAAAAAATCACGAAAAATTGTGGACAATATTTTTCAAGATATGTTGGTACTGTAATTATATAAATGTAATTGATTTAAGATTTAAATAACAAAAAACCGCAGTCTGCTGATTAGTGTTGATCGTGAACTTGAAGACTAGGAGATTGCAGCAAGACCAGAAGTGAAAAGAGTCGAAGAAGATACGTCAGCGTTAACCGATGTTCCTGAATATCACAGAACATCGTAAACCCACGAATCATAAGAAACGATATCTCGCCCCAAATGAAAATCAATTTCCACCAGCCCACGCTGCGGACGAAAATCGTCGTCGTAACCCCCGTCTGGGATACGTGACCCAATACGTAGGGTCAGGCTTACAACGGTCCTGCTTCCCATTAAGTTAACCCTATATGCACGCAATCCATCCATTTATTTATCCCGCGTGAGCCAGTCCCGTATCTCGGCCGAGTAATTGTATCGTTTCGATGGCCAAACGGAATCGAACGGGACAACGACGACAGACACAACCTCGAGAGACACAGCCTCGAGAGATTATGCATCGTCGACACGGATCACGTGCATTCTCGCATTACACGGTGAGGGGCCACGGTGATTTTACTCGAGTCTCGTTAAATATATTAATGAAAAAAGGGACAGGCCAAATACGTGGTCATTAAGGCTTGATTTTTCTGGGTTAATGGGAACCGGAGGCGGTGCTTCGCGAGGAGATTCGATCGATTTCAACCCCCGAATTCAGCCTTCGACTACCTTCCCGATGGACCTACATTCCCACGAGGGTTGCACAGAAGTTCGAGGAGATACTCGAATTTTCGCGAATCACTGTGATCCCGGTTGGTCGGCCGAATTTTTTCACCGTTCCAGGACCTAAATCCAACCCCCTTTCGGTTAGTACGCTTCTAGTTATTCTCGTTCACTCTGCTACTTTTATCATCGAAAGTGTAACGAGTTTTCGAAAATAAAAAATCCACCAAGAATCGAGTACATTCGAGAGCGACCGTAATGGTAAACCAATTTTCGGGTACTATTCTGGATGATACAACGGACGCCAGTTTGTCGCGACGGCGATAAAGGCGACGAGATTTTATTCTGTCGCGTATAAATTCACACGTAAAAAAGGCCTTCGGGTACATAAGTTTATCGCGTGTTTTATTCGTAATAAAAAAATTCGTTAAACCCGAACCTATGTGTCTGTTATAAAAAATTCGTAACAATCTGTTCCATTTTGTCGCCGTCGAAATGGCGCAAACCCTTGAGGTGAGCCACGTGAGAAAATACGATGAGAATTGTACATTCCACGATCGTTTGAGAAAAGCCACTACGTTTGTCTGTTAATCGTGGTAGCAGAGTGCTCTGTAAACCAACGAAACAAAAGCCCATGAGGTAATAATCAGGAATTTTGAAGATCCCAAGTAGTAACATGATTTCGTTGAAACTCCGAGTGCAACGATGTATTAGACAGTTTATGGGAACGTTACGGGAGCCACCCCTACGTCGCTTGTTGCGGGTGGCCGATAAAAATATCACGAATCCCGTATTTCTCCGGCGGAGATAACTTTATTGCGGCGATACCGTGATTGTTACGGCCGTTCATATTTTCCACGGCGGCGTACCTGTAGATTCGGTTGTTCAGTTCCAGCTGGAAATTCCTTCGCCCGTAAAAGCCTGCATTCGTGAAACACCAACACACTGCTGAAATAGGTGGTGGTGAGGGTTGCAACGTAGACGGATACTACTTTGTAGCGTACGAGTATGTATTCAACGGTTAACAACGTGTAACAACAAACATAATCCGCGAGTAACAAGATTCTAACGGAGCGACGTTTCTTCCAATCCTCTTTGGTTCAGACGCTGTCGTTAAATATGTAGTGATTATTCTAAAACGAAGATAATCCTCGAGTAACAAGATTGATTCCCTGTAAATCAGCGAGTGTGTTTCAATTTCCTGCAGATGTCATAAGTCCTTTTTAGTAATGACCGTATCCGTATCCAAGGGATCCATCAGCGCCATCGTTTCCGTAACCACCGCTATCACCGTGTCCATGGCCACCATAAGTGCCGCCCTCGTGATTGTTACCGTTAGAATTGTGCACGTGCGCGAAGAATCCTCCATGAGGGTCGGCGTGGTACTTAACTACCCTTATGTTGCCACCTGGTTCTTTCACGGTGTATTCACCTGCCACGTTTTTGCCTACGCGGAGAAACGCTTCTGTTATCTTGAACGATTTACTCTATCGTCACGTAAGTTCTGAATTAGTAAAAACGGAAGTAACATCGGATAAACTTCTTTATTGTAACTTTGTACCCCCATCTTGTGAAAACCTGTACAAGCCCATTCGACCTAGTGTCTCTCACCGCGAGACACCCGGTATAGACAGCACACGATCTTGCCAACACGAGAGAAATATAATATATCGACCTGTTGAGCGGAATTTATTTGCATGTATAATTTACTTTCTTCCACTACAGCCGTTCCTGGGGGGCGGACGATAACCGTGCGCGCCCTTATTACGGGAAATAAGAAATTCGAGCATCGCGGCGGATTTACGGTTTAAAGGTCGATAAATTTTTGTTATTTATTGACCAGAGAGACTCACCGTCCCGATGCTCCTTCTGTCCATGATGGTCGCCGGTGTGATGGTCGTCGACACCATAGGAAAACTCGTATTTCGGATGGGCCACGTAATCGATGTGATGGTGTCCGTGTTTACCGTGGATAGAAACTTCTTGACCCGGTCCCTCCACCGGGCCGTGGAAATGGGCGAAACTGTGAGCGTGTCCAGCCGATCCACTTTGAACAGCGGCGACGACGAGAACGGCGGAAATTAAAGCGGCCTGTCGACAGAATAATAAATTACGAAATTCAAACTTCAGTCGATATTGATTTAAATATGAGTTGAACGGCGTTTCCATGTTCAGTGATTGTCATTAGCGTTCAGAATATTCAGACATTACCTAAACAATGAGCGTATCGTACGTTCAACTTAAACACTTTCTTAACACGTTCTTTTAGGAACATTTTAATACTCACTTATAGAGAGAATCATGTACCAAGTTTACTTCATTACTGTGTTACTAATTAAAGAAGGAAGAAAGAAATTTGAGCATGTAAAAGACAGATGTAAGTGACACGCCATGTTATTATGATTATAGTGACACAATCGATTTTTAACGTGAATATACAATAGAATTATTGAATTTAGTCAATGCTATTAATTGTAATGAATGAGTACAAGATGTTTTCAAGTTTGAGTGCCTCGTACCCTGATCGCCATATTGTTAGCGTACACAAGATCGTAATAAAATGATACCTCTGCACACGGTCGTAAGAGTTTATATACCAACGATCCCGATGGTTTTTGGCAAGCGGAATTTCGCCACAATATTGTTATTCAACGTCGATGTAACAGAACGTACGGGCCACCGTTACGCCGACGCCGAAAAAAAGGGGTGTGCATGGAGCCGATCGGTTTTCTGTGGGTAAAGTGTGCCGTTTCTTTGAGAGACTTTAACATAACGACAATACCGTCCACACGCACGTGGACCCTGGGGCGACGTTTTCACCGAAACGACCATCGATTCCGCTCTATTGATCTCGACACGGAAGAGGTTTTTGCACGGATACTGTTTGTTCTGCGCCATAAATCAAACACAAAGGTAGACCGTGTTTCCGGTCCACCTTTTGATAATTCGTTGAACATTCGTCTAATTTCAAGTTGAACGAATTTCTACAGTAAATTTGGGATTGACGTCACGGGAGGAGGAACGCCATTCATGTAATATCTTTCGATTGAAAAAAGTTGGATCAAAAAAGGGAAAAGGAAAATCGTATACACAACTGGTATTTAAGATTTCCTTTATTGAATTTATATAAATATTATTATAAGTATATTATAAAACCGTCTACTATTTAGACTTCCAGGACTGGATTAAGAAGTTGCAGATTTTGTTTTACTTTCGTCACAAGGTGGCTACAATAAATTTCTAATTTCTCGACTTTGCAGTTCTCTCGCGCTACTTTAAAGTTATTTTTAACGCAATTTTAACTGAACTTAACAACTATTAATTATTTAGCAAATAATTCCCTCTTCTGCAATTTGCAAATTTTCCTTCCGATTTTCAAAGCTTTTTTCCAGCGATTTTGAAGTTCCTATTTCTGACAGTATTCAATCTGTTGTAGGCGGTAGTTAAAAAGAAAAGAAAGACTAAGGTGACTAACATTGCTGTTCTTAAGCGTGTTCACGTTCCCTTTGAATTTACTCTTTTCTTGTTAGTCTTTCTGCACGTTGCACGTTTAGCCGCGTCAGCAGAATTCGTTCCGTTTTTACAGGCCGAAGAATAAACACCGGAAACTATGCGTGGCTCGCGCCATTTTTTGGGATCCGCATTCCCAGCCGGGTCCTCTAACATTGCGGGTAACAGTTTCAAAGAACCTTTTAAGGATTCCAAACTTTCATGAGGGCTTTCGAAGTACTTACGCTTCTCGGCGGGTCCCCCCACCTTTCTAAGTAGCTGGATCGCGGACGGCGGCGGCGACGTTTTACCTAGCGTAACTTTAAGTCAACGTTTAATCAGGTCTGAAATTGTCAAAGTGGGACCGAAGTTTACTTCACCGTGGAACTTTTTACTTATTCAACCGTCGAGATTAAAAGTTTCGCTCGAGGCATCGTAATTAATATATCCAGGCTATTCCCTTTTGTTATCGGGGGAAAGTATTCTCTGCTGGTTAAAAGGTTATTCGCTCGATAATATTCTGAAGTCTATGGCTTTCGTGATCCACTGGTAAAAATCGTAACGATAAATACGTAACACACGTTTTACCCGGTAATATCCATATTATAATCATTAAAATTTGCAATAAGAAAAATGTCTTTACAGTGTCTGTAGGCTTAAAACACAAAACGTAAGTTTGTACCAACAAACACAAGTTAAACTCTGTTATCAGACGCGCGAATTCTAGTCACTAAAAATTGTATATCACATTGCATAAATATTTCCCGAGTACACATGTAATTCCATTAGTTGATAATAGTGGAAATAAAATCAGTGCACGAAGCTTAAATGGAACGAGAAACGTTTTAAAGAAAAATCGTCCGAAGATCCCGTCGTTCCAGGGAAAAAGCGGAGCGTTCGAAAAGCGTTCGTTTATCGCGCACGCTACGAAATTATAATTAGCTTAATCTCGACGAGAGAGTATGATAACGTTATTAAAATAACGAGAGACCGTGTAATGTTCTTAATTAAATAAGTGCGTTCGTATCGAGCAAGTTCGTCGGAGCTTACGGCAGGATACGAGGGGGGATAGGGGATGGAGAAAGATCTTTACCCTCGGGGAATATACGAACGGTGGTGAGGGGTTCGAGGGAGCACCGCGACTCTCGACTTTCCCGGCCGTGTTACCCCGATGGAGAAAAGGTTATTTCACGCACTCGACTCGCAATCCGTCCGTTTACTTCGGTAACGACTGTATCGATCGCAAGGCTGCGCGTTGCGGCGCGCATTCGTACACGCGGAACGGATATGCGTCATTTGTGCGTGAACCTGCAAGGGGTGGGTCGCCTCTGCGACGAATTCGTCGGTCGGGCGAACCCACGGCCGCTTGCTAAATATTTACGCCACAATTACGCCCGCAAACACGCTCCGAAATCATAAACGTCAACGATTGTATTCCTGTTATAAGGCCGAGGCACCGGACCTCGATTGTTTCGATGAAATAACGGGGAGAGTATTGAGACCCTCGCGCCGCGAAACGGATTTATTAAGACACCCTGTAAATATTGTTTCTGGTAACACCAGAATTATACCCGGCGACAGAAGACCAGTCGCCACGGCGTTATGTTAGAATCAGTGAAGACTCTGTTAGTAACAAAAATTTAAAAATTCATAAAACAAGAATCAAAAACAGTTGTTTTGATCAAAGTTCCTGTGAAGTATAGTTTGAGATAAATAGTGCCCCACCCTCCGGTAAGGCTACGAGAAATTAACACGATTATTTGACGCTTTGACTGCCACATCAACCAAGTATGGGTGACACGTACATTGCAAAGGAGCTGAATAATTTAAATATTGTCACAAAATTATTGCGTGAAAGTAACTTAATGGTATAATTTGAAGTAAGATCAACAGCCTGTATTAACTAAACGTGTACATTTTCGACAATCAATGACTTAAAAGACGAAGTAAAGTGTGTCTGGCTACGTATGGTCTTTTTCACTGTGGCAATTGACGTGTTAATAACTAAAGCACCCCGATATTCGAGTCAACCTTTGTAACTTCACACTGGGTCTCCTACACAGCCACAGTTGCAACGTATGAAAAAAAAACACACGAAAACACTGAATCGTAATGGTTAAGTGTTGCAATTACGAAACTCCTGGTATGGAAAGACCATGAAGAGCTTCCGATGCGAGAGGATCGTCATTCTCCCAACATCGCGACAATCCAGCCGAGGTAGAAATGATTACACAAACACCAGCTAGGGAATGAGGATATGACGTTGTGCTCAGGAGACTAATTACTTCAACAAGCTTCGAGTGTGAGCCAATTGTCGGAGGGATTCGTCAATGCGAGAACGACGTGCAGAAACGGAAGGTGTTGCGCCATGCGGCACAGCGTCGTCGAAAACGCGGGAATCACGCGCATCCTGGGGCGAACATCGTCGGAACACAGCGAGATTATTGTTTGTTTTTTTCTTTCTTCTGTCAGTACCCAGCAACAGATGCTGCCGTTTGTATTCGACGCGATGCACCTTTCCGTCCTTTTTACTTCCGAGAAGCGACGGGCGTATGTAATTAGTTTGTACTATCATCCGTGTACGGCGACACGAGCCACGTTCTTCAGCTCTCGCGCTGGAATTCTGTCGACCGTTCTCTTTTAATTCTATTACCCTTCCGGTCTTCCCGTTCCCGCACGCCTCCCGTGGAATTCCCTGTCTTCGGTAAATACGCCCCGTGGGACAGCCATTTTCAATGGTATCTTCAATATTTTCGTACACCGTGATTACTGGGCTGCCACCGTTCTTGTTCACGGTAACCGTCCAGAGGAAACGGGGGCAGACGGCAGGAGCGCAAACTTGAAAGAATTTCAGCTAATTAATTAGAGGGACCCATTCTGCATGGAAGTTTTGCGCAGACAGCGGAGAAGAAATATTTAAAGGCATGGCTCGCTTTTAATTAGTCGTTCCACGGAACGGGCGGCGCAGCGGCGAGCAGCACACGGCGCGCATCTTTGTTGGCCCACTCCTCAAAGGAACACCACCCGTGCTGCCGTCCCAGGAGTTCGCCTGACTGTGTTTCAACGGCGGGTCCGTGTCTACTCAATATCATCCGCTACGCAAACTTAGTAGAAATTGTCGAAGCGTATGCGCAATGCAATTACTGGCGATGGAAATTGGTAGCGGAATTGGCAGTGGTGGTGGTGATCTCTTTATGGCACCCTCGATCTTGGTGCATGCAACTGCACGAGCTGTGTAATACCGTCGCGACTACTACAAACATTGAATTTCAATGCTTGCGATCTGTGCTCCTGATATAATTTTCTGTCGATATTAAATCTCTTTCCTTGGAAGGAACACGAATTCTTAACTTGTATCGAACATACGTGATATATTTATTCCAAACATTGGAAATTTATGCGGATGACATGGAAGTCGACATGGTTATTTGGGTAGAATACAGTGCGTAACGAGTCATCTTTTTTTAGGGAAAATAATTCATCCTTTCCTAGAGAAACATTATTTCTCAACGTGAATTCAGGCACGTCATACTTGATTGGTTTTTATTTTAACCACAATATATAAAAACTGTAAATTTTTAGGGTGGTTCTATAGTTATGCCACCCAGTTCAAATTAAGTACTATCCCTGCACTAATTCGCTAATATAATAAATCAAAGTATTAACGATTAACATGTTTATTTTATTCCATACTTAATATTCCATAAAATAATAACAACAGTGGTACTTTCGCCCCGACGAAGGACCACTCGAAAACAACGAAATAACGTAAAAGTAACAACAGAATAAATATAAAAGACTTGTAAGAAACAAGTTAGACACCTCTGCTTCTATCTCTATCAGTGCTTGTGACCGCCATAAGTGCCACCGGAATGGTCATTTCCTCCGTGATTGTGAACCTCCGCGAAAAATCCGCCATGGGTAGCACATTACGCCTGGAAGACGGCTTAAAGGCGCCTTAGACCTAAAATAGCCGTAAAATGGACGTCTTGAAGACGTCATTTGCTATCTAGGATGCTACTCAAAATGATTACAGATTTCGTAGTCTCTATTTTAAAAGTCTGACTACCGATTAGTTTACCATTTTTTCGAAATTGCTTGACCTAAAAGCATTAATGTACACGCAGAGGTGTCGCGAAAGAGGAAAATGTTCTCGCGTATCTACGAGATCCCCTGGCAAAAATCGTAAACCTAGCGTGCCGGGAACCCGTCGACAGGCGAATTTGCTAGTTCTAATTAAGAGCAAGGTCGACCGTCCAATTAGTTCGGGATTCTAATTAAGAGCACGAGATCGAGTCCTCGGTAGACTTTCTTGCCGGTGCTCGATCAAAGCCACCTAGCCAGAATGCGTACCGTCGCGATGCTCCTTCTGTCCGTGGTAATCTTTGGTGTGCTTATCGTCCACGCCGTACGAGAAATGGTACTTGGGATGAGCGACGTAGTCGTGATGATGATCCCCGTGTTTGTCTTTCCAGGTGATTTCCTCATGGTGGCCGGTGACTGGTCCGGAGAAATGGTGGAACGAATGCGCGTGGCCGTGGCCGCCATCGTGGCCATTTCTGTCTACGCCACCGGCATCATCGTCACCTAAAAACGAACAGTACGCGTTCTAGAAGCCAATTTCGATCCAGTACAATTTTCTTGTGATTCAACATTGTCATACCTTCGTGATAGATTTTCGGGTGGCCATTAACAATCGCGATCGAAATCAGAAGAAAGACGATCATTTTCTGGAAAAAGAAACACAACAAATGGCTATGGTACTGGAGAAACTGCCGGGAGACGATGGATATTCACTCGAAGAAATGGCACCACGAGACAGAAAATTCCAAGGGGAATGACCATTATTTTTCTCACGAATAGGTACGGGGAATAGGGACGCTAGGCGGAAACGAACGCCCTAGCCAGTAGCATAAAGACCTCTAGAACACGCCGCGCTCTTACTTTACGGTCACGACTTTGTAATACTTTGCCGCAGCTACCGTGATCCGTTTATACGAAAGCTGGTTCACCCTTTTAACCAATGCGAGAGACTCGGAATTGGAACGATCGATAGGATTAAGCTGGTTCTCTCCCTGTCCCACCCTCGAGCTTCGTTTGCGTATACTAAATTCCGAAATTTCTACTGTTATGCGGTAATCCCGGCGGAAACACGACGAAACAAAGATGGTTCACGGCTTACCTCGATCAGCGCCATGTTGCTACTCTCGGGGTGCCGCGCGCCGATCAACTGTTTACTCGATCGGGAATATCGCGTTTTATAGGAACGATCGGACCGCGAAAGAACGGGGGCTCGTTAAAACATTAATTTGTCAGTCACACCTTGTCGGCCGATGCCCGACAGAGCGAGAGGCAACGATTGTTTCTTTAATGGCGTACGTAATGGTCCATGGGTTTTCGTCATATTCCGGCACCGGCTGGCATTATTGTCGCGACGGTGTGACGTAAAACAGTTCCATAAAAATCCACTTGCAAAATATCGAACGACGAAATCCCCGTTGCTTTCCGTTTTTTACCGATCGTTCGCCTCGAAGACACAAGTTTCGGGATCGATCGACAGCGTTTACGGATAAATTGAATTTTCGGATGGGTGGCCGGTATACACGCGATTCACTGTGATTTACGGGTGCCTCACGCGACCGGGAATTTTAATTTCAAGTCGTACTCGTAACTATCCGCCTGGCCTGGTACACACGCGAACGCATTTACCAAATGCTTTAGTAGTTTTAATCAGCCCCGGAAATCCGCGATAATTCCGAAATTATAGGGCTACAATTACTCCCCGGGTGTCGGGGACCTGCTCGATTCCATTAAAGAAACCCACCCCTTTCACCCCCGTCGTCCTATCATATATTCGATCGGCGAACGCAAATTGGACTGTCGTGATTAATGAGCAATAAATTGCGCGTTTTCGCGACGATAGAGCGAACGAGTGTCAATATGTCGGCTGAATAGCCGCATCCCGGCATGGCAATACAGTTTATTGTTGAATTTATTGCATTTCCGCGGACCGACCCCGCTCGCATGATACATTCATTCTCGGCTGAATTGTAATCTATCGATTCGATGGAAAGTCAAATAATCTACACCCCCTGTGCACCCTCTCGTCACGGCGATTCGATTATTATCACCAACCGTACACCTCGGCGAACAATAAATGAAATACTTTTAACGAATTACCTTATAAATTATTAATAAATATTTACCGGACACGGGTCTGCTAGTATCGAACGTAACGTTCGACAGATTTTCGCGATTCCGTCGAGTTCCTCCTTCGATCGACGGTTTTTCTGATTCGTTGACTTGGCGCGTTTTTCTTCTCGCTCGCGGCGAAACTATTGGAAAAAGATTATGCACGGTCCAATGGGTAATTAGAATAGGTTTTTGCGCAACGACAATGTTGAGGTGTTAATACTTTCGACCCCGTAAGCGTTCCGTTTATCGTGTTCGGCTCTTGCGCGGTTCGTTAATTACGTGAAAATTCTAGGATAATTGCACAATTACCCTAAATATGTAAAAATCAGTGGAATCATTGCATCAAGTTTTATTTGCGAAACTGACCACCGAAAGGTATATTTGGAAATCTTTGGATTCATCCTGGGTATCGAACTTTGAAATAAATTTTGCTAGTTTCTAAGCATCTATTAGTCTACCGGCCCGCCGGTAAATAATTAGGACGGAAATTGTTTGAATTCCTGTTGACCGACAGACAACGAAACATCCGAGACAAACGGTATTTAATCCAAAGGCTATTGTGAATTAACAAATCAAATTTAACTAGATGTCGACTAGGGGCGCATCGAATTTGATATTTATCATTACCAAGAACCGAAGCTCCTGTATCGTTTGCATAGCACACGGGTTGCGGGTGAATCTACGATCCGGACGTCTGCGAATTATCCATGGAACTCGGAATGGAAGCCGCCGAAATTAATATACGCTACAACCTACGATTGCAAGCTGCATATAACAGGGAACGGAATAATTGCAACGCTGACGTAAAATCCGTCGTAAAGCGAAAATTATTAATCGTGACTGCTGAACGGTGAAGAGTTTATAGATCGAACTCGCCTAAACCTAATATTGTTCGAGGAAATCGATTGAAACAGACACCTTAATATTAATCAAAGGTTTTAGTCAACGTCAATATTAATTACAAAACTGTACATATTCTTAGCACGTTAAGCCTCTGACGCATCAATCTGCTCGTGAAGGTATTCAGAACGAAACCACTCGAACGACACAGTCACAATGGCAGGCTGGACGTTCGATTATCGCCCCATCGACGCATGTAGAGGAGGGATTAATTAATACAAAGTCAACAAGCCTCCGTTCTTAACCATATCACTCTTACAAAGTATTACTGGCTGGATATGTAACCTAACACGGCATTTCAATAAGTCATGTACACAACGATTACGGTATTCGTGACTGGGCCTGGTTCATTGGCAGAAAAGTCTCGTTTTAGCCGCCATGTCGTACGAGCCACGTGGACAAGGCGACGTCAGCGCCGGGATTAGCGAATTCTGAATGGAATGGGTCGACACCGGAGCTGTCCATGTTCCTTCCGATGAAAATATCCCGGACTCCACATCAGACCTGTCAAAGATATTATTTTCTTTCTTATTCGAAACGGTGCTTATCTTTATCCTCGAATGTAAACGTTCGCGGTAAAAGCCATTACGTCGCGATAAATGGATGAGAAGCACTGAACGAGATACTAATTAAAGCAAGGTTCTTCGCCTTCAACCGACTCGTAACATATACACCCGCAGAAAATCGTCCGTAAAATACTGTTCGAGGCCTTACGTCTTCAGAACGGGCGCGCTATAAAGAATAAGAGGATTCACGGGCGGCGGTTTAAGAAGAACGACGTCGACCCCCGAGGACTGGAGCTCGCTTTTTAATGCCTCCGCGGCCCCTTCCACGGCCTTTCTGGAGGCGCTGTACGCCACCAGCCCGGTCCCGGCTTTGGTACCATAGCTTGTCCCGGAATCTCCGAAAAGAACGATGCGACCTTCAACATAAATGTTCCTTAGAGCGCGCTCCGGCACCTTGTCTTCCAGGGAAACCCCCAGTTTAAGGTATATTTATTGTATCCCAAGACTTTCAGGGATATCACTTTTCAATTTCGTCAAGTTAGTTCGAATTTAAAACTGGTACAGCGTAAATCGCATCATTAAGAGCAACGAAGGCGGTTAGTTTTTTGAAAACAGATTTGGAATTGGATGGAGATGCAGAGGTGTCCGAACGAATCGCTATATCAGAAAGAATCTACATGCAATTTACACTCTTCTAATGTATTATGGTTAAGAAAAGATTTCGTACGAAAATAGATCTTGTTGCACCATTCTAGTCTGTCCTTTATCGCAAGTTTTTAAGCAAACATAAATCGAACCCTATGTAGATTATACAAGTCTAGTAATATAACCGGGCAGAAGGTGATTCTATAGGAAAAAATAAGTCGAAAAAGCAGAATATATTTTTTTCATACGAACCTTCGTTTTCGAGGAAAACCACTTAGAAATTTCATCGACTATGTCTGTATTTGTGGTAAGAATAAGTAGAAACAGAATGTGGTGAACAGACGCATTTTAAATCCTTTTCAATTGCACGCGTATCCAGCAGATTTTTATATTCGATTACCTCAAAAACAAAGCATCGTAGGAAAAAATTCTATTGTATATTTTTCACTTGTTTTTGCATTTAGAATAATCTTCTGCCCGTTTGTACTACCCGACCTGAGACACTCTGCATATTACACTGGAACCAACTTTTAAAACGCTGGACGTGGAACGAAGTATCCAGAATATTAGGAAGAAGGAATTTTTTAAATGTTAAGAAGAAGGGTTTCTTTTGTCAGTAATAGTAGCCCCACCACCAAATGTCATAGGGACGGACCTCTTTTCGCCCGCAAGAGAGGAATGAAGACCCTGGCAGTTCTAAGCGGTGCGACCAAATTGTGTCGCAACATGGATTCCCACGCGGAACTCGGCTGCCTCTCAATAATACCAGGAAGAGCCTGGCCGCCGGTGTGCACGACTGCCCAGAGACCTGTAATTAAGTAAAGTTCAAACTTGGATGTACTTTAAGCGGCCGCTTTTGGATGGCGCGGCAGACACGGCGAAGATAGAAGTTTCGTCTCGCCGAAATTCACGCCCCTCGACGAATTCGCGTGGTCCGTGAATTCGCAATCATCTCACTGATTCCCGTCTTAAATGTTCTTAAATGAGCGATCACCCCAATTTTTTCAGATTCACGTTAATATTTATGAAGATTCTTATTGGATGAAAACTGTTTGCTGACTAGAATGGAAGCTGGGTAAATTAATATTCATTTATGATGCCCGATAGCGCATTTTAAACTGGTACAGTAAATCATCGATGAGTGTTTAAAGACTCCTTGGATCTGAGTACTCAGATATCATAACCACCACTGAGGGGTCCTCCGTGGTACCAATCAAGTACTCAGTAGTAGAGATGACGTCTGAACATTAATTTAATGAATAAATAATCCAAATTAAAGCAATTAAAATATTATAGAATTATTCATTTCAGCTATTCCGTATTTGTGATACTCTGAGGCTCTTTTCCATTTTATCCTGATGAGAGTTAATCCTGTATAGAACATTGCACTGAACGTGTTAAAGAAACAATGAGAGCAAAAGAATCAGGAAGAAATGGAAAAATTCTAAAAAGAAATTAGGAAGAGGGAACGAAGAAAAGTTTCGATTAAACAGTGCCAATAGTAATTTAGAGTCGATCGTAATTGATCCGCGTTGACCCGGACAGGATCAGCAAGAGTTCACGATGGAAATCGATGAAATTAAATTCATTGCATCCCCGTTGATCGATTATCAGAACCCCCGTCCCACGGAATTGTTCGTTTAAATCGTACAATTTCCAGAGAGAGAGAGCCGAGGGTATTTTACATCCCCGCGAATCTTTTGCGGTCGTCGCGAGTCTGGAAACTCCATTCCAGCCTTCCCTTTTCTCTTATTCGTTCCCTATCCTCGCGTTCTATTTATACGGACCGATAAAATCCCCGGCGGGCATTATATCGAAACGAACAACTCAGCGGAATCATCGCGAGAACAATTATTGGCCCAGTTGTCTACGTTATCGTGCCCATACGGGACAAGGTTTTTTATTCACATTAGGATCACCCTCCCTTCCTCCCTCTCTCTCTCTCTCTCTCTCCCCGTTTCTTTCTTCGCAGATTATCCCCGAACAGAGCTCCGAGATCTCCACGTAATTAACGATAGAAATAATAAGGCACCGGTTTTGAAGATCAAAATGAATAGGAGCCTCGGAGGGTTTTCCAACCAGCCATTGACTGACGAGGAACGCGAGAAGTTTCTGAAACGGGACGCGAACATCGCGCGAAACTTAATTAACGTTCCCTCGGAATAACGCGATTTTTCGTTAATTAAGTAACCCATCGCTGGACTCACCGCCGACACCGTGGAGAGCTACTCGTTAATTTTTCTCTCGATCTTTTTATACGGGGATCTGGTTACGCCTTTGATACTTTAAATTTCAGCAATGTTAAGAAGGTCCCCCGGGGAGGAAAGAGCGTTTCATCTTGAAACGTAATACCCTGCCTTATGAATTTTCGAGTAATTACAATAATTTTAACACTAGAACTACCATAATAACTTATCAGTATACTCTTATAACGATGATTATAACGTTATAACCATACATTCTCTCAGACTTCCTGCAACTTTTATTAAAATATGAAAGTGAGGAAATGATTTGATTTATAAATCTATGAATTTTCAGAAGTTTGTCATACTTACCAACCATATCGAAATAAATATGCGTTTGTCGGTAGTTCTAGTGTTACGCATCGTTTCTTTATAAATAATAGGGGGTACTTTATATATAATAATGAGGAATTATATTGATTTTAAAATACTCTTGTTCCATGAAACGATATTGGAATGCAAAATTTTATCCCATTAGTGTTTCATGTGATCGCCAATTAAACACACGAAATCACGATGGAAATCGAATGGAATCGAAATTCCAAAAAAAATCGTTCATAATGAACAACCCGGTGTTCTATTACACGATGATCATAATTTCAACTGCATTTGGCGCTCGTCGTTACAAGGCAACCGGTTAAATTATCGACAGAAACGAATTTAATTACTCGCGCGGTGGTAATGTTATATACGAGTTCGAGCGTGCGAAAACAAACGGAGTGAGGCGGCGAGGCAACGGAGCGTGGTCCAATCTTCGCCGTTCGGCGCGCATTAAATCGACAATTGCTTGCCGTCTTCGCCGGCCGGAAGTTTCGCTCTAACTGCGTCCAAACAAGCGCGTAAACTGTCCTCCCTGGTCGGGTCCAGCTCCAATGGCACGATTTGGCCGCGAGCACGTACTTCCGGATCCTGCGGATTGCCCTGAGCCGCGTCCACCGGATCTTCCTCCCTCTCCTTCTGCTGCTCCATCGCCCGCAAAATCTTGATCGACGGTGAATTGCCAGAGGGATCAAGCAGACCGGCAAACACCTGTCGACAGTTAACCGTAGCGTTACGATACCGATTCCAACGTTGGATCACTGCCACGCGCGGTTCACTGTCCATCGATCTTCTGCTCATGAAGCATACGTGTTGCTTCGAGAATGAATTAGATTTAACCCTTCAAACGCCCAGATCCTTCAATCGTTATTTCAAAATTATGAGTCTAATATGTACCTTCTTATTCAGAAGTTGGAAATATCGAAATTAAACGGACCCATTTTTTTCATGTTTTTTCTTTTTTTATTAATTCTTTGAAGGAATATTTGAATTTATCAACTGACAACGTGGAGATCAACTTTACATCAGTGACACTACGAATCCTTGCTGATACAAGTTAAATATTAACCAACGATAGAATATGACGAATTTTTAAAATTAATGTTGCACCGGTGCAACACTGGGCGTTAAAGGGTTAAACACAGCTAAAACAGCTTCTTAAGGTAACTTCCGCAAATTTGTAATAATTGTAAATTTAGTTGAAAATTTAACAGAACATTCTTGAAAAGTTCAACTTTTGATTGTTACCAAAAAATCGCAAGGTCAACGATAAAATTATTTACAATAAGGATTTATTTGTAAATGTATTTTCCATTTAAGTATTTTGAAGTAGCTTAAAATATTAATCATTCAAATTAAAATTGATAAGAAGTATAAAGCGCCGTATGGAGTCCCAGCTAGGTACGACACCAAATACAGAAGCTACCTTAATCGTTACATTTGTATAATTCAGATATTGAATGTTGTATCTTATCAGAGTTGGAGTTTAAAAATCAGAGATGCTTTGAGGTATCTATTTGTGCAATTTACGAAGCTCCAACGCCAGGAAATACGGGTCACGAAGATGAGATGCTCTCATACACTTCGACGGTTAAGGGGTATTAACTTTCATAAAATATCGAGTTCTCCGAGAGCTAACAGTTTCGAGTCAAAGCACCATTTACAAGAACGAAACTTTAATAACTGCTTCAAAGTAACATAATTAGTAACTAGATGCACCGCCGTGTGACATAATATCCCTTTAACACCCGGAAATCAATTTGGACGGAGGACTCAATGATTTTAAAGTTACTTTGTAGATTCTTGCAGGTGACACAGGATGGAATCATAAAAATTACAATGTAATCAATATTCCTTCTACAAAATATCTATTAAAATGAATATTCTCTGACTGTACAGAACGCAATCGATAGTTGTACTATACATATGTATATACAGGATGTCATGTAACTGATGGTATTACCGGGTACGGGGTGATTCTACGTCAACGAATGACTGGAAAATATAGAATAAAATTTCCCATTTGATACTACGTTTTCGAAAAAATCAACTTTGAAAGTCTGCTGGATACGCGTGCAATTGGATAGGACTCGGTTGCTGCGTCTGTTCATTGCATTCCGTTTCTACGGACTGCCACCACGAATTCACGTTACAGATGAATCTTCACACTCGTTTTCCTCGAAAACGAAGTCTCAAATAAAAAAATGTTATTACATATTTTCTACTTGCTTTTTCACGAGAATCCCCCCACCCTATCTGGTTGTACCACCAGTTACACCACGTATGTATATGTAGAACAAATTGTTGCTGAAGTTGTAAATTGTTTTATCTCCACTAGTTTCTGAACTGAGAAAACTGAGTTTAAAGTTTACGAAATTCAATATTATAGAAGCAGAAAAGTAGTGAAATAATCAAATACACTACAATACCATCTACTGAATAGCTATTTATTACAATTTTTACTAATATTGTATCCTATTACTAACATAAATATTTAATTGTTGTTAATATTTGGAGATACAACCATTAAGAACAAAAAACTTTCAAAATTTCGGAGTTAGCACTTAAAAGAACATTTCTTGTATTCTCGGTTGAGTATTCTCTACATTATGGTGAATTTATATTTTTTGGACCAATGCGATGCACGTAGATTGATAAATTAATTTTTTTTTAAAATAGAGTGTGTACAGTTAAGAACTCGGACGACGAACTATCGGTTGCATTCTTCAAATTCATTTCAGATATTAATAAGAGATTGACTATCTACATTTCATTGGTAAACATATTGCAATTTTAACGCCATCAACCACAGTTATATGAGCTTCAAAAACATCGAAATGCTCAAAGATCTATCAGAATTTATCCATAAAAGAAGCGCTCCTATTTCATTACTCTACTTCCCCAGCAAATTTCCTAATGGCGCGTGGTTTGCGAAATGTGTACGATTACCTTGTAGCCGACTTCGTAGAGTGCAAGGGCGATCTGTAGGCCCACGCAGGTATCGCAGCTGGTAACCAGCACGTGACGTTTGTTACGGGTCTCGTACTCGTCGGTTGCGTTCCTCGATTGCCGCATCAAATAAGCCAACAGGGCAGCGACAATCGAACAGAGAGCCAATATTTGAAGGGCCAAAATGGCCCCGGTCTCTGCATCCATCCTCCCGGGCGATATTCAATCTGCAAAGGCCGAAGTTACATCTCAATTACAGCGCAATTCAAGCCGGGTCATACGGGCCCTTCCATCTCCGCAATGGCACCGGTGAATAGTTTCTCATCGTCGTTATGGCACAGTCAGATTTCATGTTGCGGAGTTTCGCACACCGATACACGATGACAGTTCTCTCGATCTCTCCCTGATTCACCCACGTAAACCGAAAGGCACAGTTCGCTGTTTGTTCCCGAAGTGCTCACGATTCAAGAACAAATACCATGTGGAGAATCCACATACGTTCCGGTGACCACGTTGTTCCGAGGACATTAATTTATTTCCCTCTATTGGACCACTCCCCACGACCCCGCGGTCTACTTTAATCGCGTCACCCTTCGAAGGATTGCCCGGGCGAGTTCCAACAACCGTGTCCCGACCAGAACGTTCGTCGGATTTCATAATGTTCCTGCAATTCCGTGAATCTAGGCTCCCCCGCTTGTTGTTTTCATGGTTTCGCGACCGTGCCGAGCCACGGTTTCGCTCGAAATTAATGACACTGAATGGAAATTCACGACTTTCCGAAAAAGCATTCTACATTTACGCGATCCCCTGATTGTTTTACACTGTCTATATGAAACGAACGAAATCGGGCTGCTACCGTAGCGTCAATGGTTCGGTTGTACCTCGAGTTTCTTTCCACGGGTACATAGAAAATAGTGTACGAGGAAAATTACATGTACTACTGGAAGCGTTTAAACGAGCTGCTGAGTTGAAAAATGTTACGCTTGACAGAGAATGAAATTCTGAAGTCAAGCAGCGTTAACAATTTTCATTGTTCATTAACTTCTGCTGGAACATTCCTCGAATCACTTACGTAGAAAGTGGAAGGATATTTAATCAGACTTACTGGTTTCAAAGAAATCAGGGTAAGGAGTGATTAAGTGATATTAAAGGTCTATTTCAATCGTGTCGTCGATCGAAAAAGAACCTCACCCCGATTCGTGGCATCCAACTCGTCGACGTGCCTCCAGCGATGGATCTATGGACACACCGGTACTATTTGTACCAATGTTTTCGGTGGGTGCACGCAACCCGTATAAATCCACCGCGAAGCGTAATTCCGTGCACGAATGCCGTTGACAGCCGATCAATCAATAATGATGCCATAAGGCATAGTACATTTAACTGGGGAAATTGTCAGAGCCCGCCCGTGGGGCGATACAACAAATCAAGCATCTTTATTGTCGACGAATCGCGTTATTCCCACGTCCAACGGGGGAATCACAGATCGCCACGGACGTGTTCATCGATTACCGACACCCGGCAAAATTATATTCCATTCACGGTCCATAAATCTGTCGTTTTTCCTAAGACGTCGTACGTGAGCCAGTTTCCCATCGGATCCAGCCGCGAGGTGGAGAGACCTTAACGTGATATAGCAACGTTCGCGTAAGTAATCGTTTCGAACAGCGTAACATTTTCCTCACGGATGCAGTCGTGTCGATATACAGTTCCGAAAAACACGGTTGCGAGTTAAACAAACTTATTTCTATTCCCAAACGAACTCCTATGCACTCGCGACTCTAATAATTGAACCCTTTGACGACCGTGTGGTGAGGTTCTCGTGAAAAAATCACGGAATTTTTATAAAATTAAATTGGCAAATATTTCGGGCGAAACTTTTCTTTGATGCGATCGCGGCACTGCCTGCAAAGCTTTCCCCAGTACGGTGTAATGACAGAATGCAAACTTCCACTTGAAAACCCTCTGGGAGCCGGAACGGCGCCGTTTCCAATTCAAAATATTTTCCCTATGCTATCGTACGGCCACGAGAAAAAAGGAAACTAAAGGGAAGAATTTTCAATAAACTCTTACCGTGACCCTTGCCTGGAAGGGGGAATAGACGAAATGCGTTTCCAGGACTCGAATTATATTCGAAACAATTAAAACTTCACAACGCTGTAGAAGAAGTTTCTTTGACGCGGAGAGAGAAATGTTCAATTTCAATTCAAGTATCGAAAAGGATACGTTTGTACGTTTGAAACTCGCAAATTTCAGTGTATACAGTGTCAATCTATTTCAATGTTTAATATTTACGTGAGAAAGAAAACAGAGATGTAATGGGGTGTTCGTTACTGTTCTCAGTTTACAATTTACATTCTTCTCAAAATACGATCGGCCTGAGCGGAAATTAAACGAAACACGAGAATATTTACAACAATTAATCAGAACACGCATTTTATCGTTTACATTACAGAAATAACACGGAGAACAATTCATAAAATCATAATTACCCGTTTCTGCATCTGTTTACATATTTCAGTAGATCATCGATGAGTGTTCAAAGGCTGCTCGATACTGAACATAAAATATTTCATAAACTAATAGCCATATGCAACTGAAACATGTATCATTGGCTACAAAATTCCAAACTCTATCACTATGCTAAACCTCAACAAAAAGTCAGCGTTACACCTGAGAACATTTCCTTGTCAGTGCCGAGGAACCGTCGAACTCTCATCGAAGATTTACTGTTGTTCCTTTTTAAACAGTATTTCAAACTGGGACTATTTTAATATGTATATATCTTCGATTTGAATATGCAAAGAATCCTCCCACTAAAAAACTCATTTAATTCCCATCCAATTTATGCGTGAAGCCTACCTGCATTCCCACCGTTGGAATCTCGACGTTGGAGCTCGATCGCGGATTGGCGATTCGATTGATCGTAAACGCGAAAAGACGTCGGCGGATTCCGTTTTTCCCGCGAAAAGTGAAGGGCGGTTGGAAAGGTTTTTTGCCTCGTCGAATCGCCTCGCCTTTCTAAACTGTATCTGTACTCAGCGAGGCGTGGCTGAGGCGGCCGCTCCTGTTTCCCCGCGGCCGCCTCGGTCGGGTCGTCACGAATTCTGCTCGGATTTGCAAAATCGAACGCAATCCTGGGGTCCCAGACGTGTCACGTCGACGGTGAAAATCGCGCCCCGTCGATTTAATAGCTCGGATCACGTTTTCGTTAATGTGCTGAATCGATTAGCCAGACGGGGGAACGTTTCAAACGGCATAAAGAGGCATTTTTCAACCGGGCTAGAATATTCCCGTCTTGAGCCCTCGGCTGGTTGTCAAGCCGAACGACGAGATCGTTGAAAAATATCGAACTGCCCGCCGACACGGTCCAACTGGGAATATTATCGAGAAAATACGAGCAAACGTTGCCCTCTGGAATGTATACCACTGTGTAATGAATAAAAGATATTTAAATAATGTCCGTATTGCCAGAGATATTCTTTATTATTATAACACAGAATTGTACCAATCTGGTATTACGAAACTTTTAATTTCAGCAAGTCTGAAATTAATAAAAAATACAATTTGCACTCAATTATTATAGAACATCCCATCGTAGGAAATATTTAATTCGTAGTTTTCACATTTTTTAATGTACAAGAATCTGCATACAAATGGTTGAAATTCCAGGTTTCATTTTTATCAAGTGAAATTCCCAACGAACGAAACAGGTTCTCGTTTAATTCCAGTTTCTGTATGTACGCACTAAAAAATATTGATCCAAGTGAGAATCCGCTGTGTAATCACAGCCCAGTAATTACAGTCAGCGACTACTGCGTACTTCAACATATTACCCCTTTTTTTTTATAAAAACAAGCGCAGTAATCAGAAGGGAAGTAATCACACAAATGTTTGCCCATATATCGTGTCGTGTTTCCCGCGTGCGCATTACCAACCTATAATTCACGAAGAAAACAACAAGTTTCGCACGAAACGATTCGTTCGACGACGACGCCGCGTGAGTTTCTCCGGGAGGGACCGGAAATGCCGTGGCGCGACCGGGCGCAATTGAATTACACGAAGATCGATTCCGAGTGTCCGTGGACTTTCAACCGGTCGGATATCCATTTGTGAGAAGCAACCAGATAGATAGGATTCCAGTTTCTTTCCGGGAGATTGTGAAAATCTCGCGTTTCCGGTCATGACTGTCCGCGCGCGCGAATTGAACGAAATAGTTCGGATCGCGTCTCCGGAAGTGGAGTGTCAACCGATGCTCGAGGCGTCCCTGCACGCTGTTTCCCAATGGCGGCCTTCGATTTCAAACGTAATACGAGATTCCCAGGGGACGTGGACGAATTATTCGACGTACGTCCATTGAGGTTACGCGTGAGATATGTTTTTGTCATCCGAGAAACGACTACCACGTTACCAGAATTAATACGTTTCAACGCTTCCAGATCTGGACGGAATCGGTTGCGCTTCTTGATACTGTATGCAACGGCAACCATTAGACATTTGGGCACCACTGTGGTATTTGCGGTCTTCAGAAATGGATAAAGAGTAAAATTGTATGAGGAAATTAAATGACTTTAAATGCTTCACGTTCTTCTGCCAGTATGCATCGATATTGGTTAATTTTCTCTCTGTGCAGAGCGGCGCAAAAACACCCCAGGGGAATAAAAACGTAATTTACAAGTTCCCGAATGGAAGATTTACACAGTTTTTCGTTGGGAATGCTATCTGTGATATATTTCACAAGCAATTAGAAGACAATTTCTATTTTCTTAAAAATCAATAAAACTTCACAAACACTTACGCAGTCAAAATTACTTCTTTACATTTTGCACTGAAAATGCATAGGGTGAGAGAAAATTCAAGGTGAGACCTATACTGATATGGATATTAAACTATTCTTTTGTGAATGAATATAATCAGTAAAAGTAACTATTAGGACTGATGTAATAGTGCCATTTTTCGTATTGAACTGTGTTATCGATTGGTTATTATTCGGTATAACTACATTCCATGTTCCCATCAGTCTGGCGTTACCCTTCCCATGAAAAATTTTCCTTTCTGTTATTGAAACATGCAGTGAAAACGGGCAGAATTTTCTCCCGGGCGTAATATTCGTTCGTTCAATGAACGTATGGAACATTTGAAATTTTCCAATCATGATATTTTTGCACTTTGATTTATTCGGGTGAAACTTTCTATATTTATATGTATCTGCGTTGGACAGTGTAGA